CCCCCCCCCCGCGGGGGGGGGGGGGGGGTCAGGTGCGCTTGGTGACCAGTGGCTCCACAGGGACAGCCCACTGGGGCACAGCCACTCTGTGGAGTAGAAGCCTGGGGGGACGTGGGCCAGTCCACGCCGCAGGGGACCTCTTCCCAGCTGCTGCCACAGGGCCCCTGCCCTGAAGTCAACTCAGCACCAACGGCAAACAACCACTGCGCCAGGGACAGCGCCTAGAGCCCCCTTGCTTCTTCATTGATAGCTTACGCACCAACACCCCTGGCGCCTCACTTGGGGCCCAGCTTATCCTGAACCTGAGGGAGAGGACCAGGCTGCCCTCCCGGTGGGTCCCCCGGAGCACGCCCCCTACAGGCTCAGGGCCTCTGTCCCGTGCAGCCAAGACCCCCGGGGCACGGGACGGAGGAGACAGCCCCTGGAAGAGGTGCTCCGGCTGAAGAGGCCCCCAGAGAAGCAGGGGAGGGTCCCCATGCCAGTCACAGCACCCCGGGTGAAGTCCCTCTCCCTCCTCCCGCCACCAATCAGGTTTTATCTGCAGGAAGATCGGGACAGGCGGTGTGCAAAGACAGTCCGCCTGGGAAAACCGAAACCAGCCCAGGCACAGCAGCCACCAGACCAGAAACCAGCTGCTACCTGCTCCTCAGGACACCCGGCCACCTACGGGGCTCAGGACACACGGCCCGAGGGGGGACACTCTGCCCCCGCCGTCCCATTTCTCTGAGCAAAAATTATCTGAACGAGGACAGCCTCAGAAGCAGCCTGGAACTACCCCAGAGCCCCCTGAGATTCTCTGGTCCCGCCCCCCACCCGACTAGCTGCTTGAAGTGCAAAGAGACTTCAACTTTACCCACATGAAACAGAGGACAGAAATCCCCTCACCCTGCCGCGCATCCCACCTCCAACCGCAAGCCATTCTGAGCTTGAGGGTAGGGCAGGGGATCCCGAAATCAGACTGCTGAGGGGCCGCCCACCCCCCGCCCGAGGCAGGCTGTCCACCCCAGGAGCAGCAAGCCGGGCAGCCCATGGTGGGAGCGGGCGGAAGGAGAAAGCAACGTCACAAGCACCTACCTTTGTACCAACTGCTATGTCTGGGACGATGCTGCAGAGAGAAAAAAGGAGACGTCAGCCAGGGCGCCCGCCACATCCCGGCGCACGAGCCCCCGCTCGAGGCCTTCGTCAGCTAGAAGGCCGGGGCAGGGAAGCGAGCCGTCCGCCCTTTAATCGCCACTTGAAAAGGAGCCATCATTGTCCTCCGGCTCCCTCACGGCAGGACCCCGGCCCCGCCTCCCGACCCGTCCAAAGACAAAGACACCCCCTCCACAGGCCCTAGGAGAGACACTTGATGCTGGTTAAGGTTCAGGTGCTGCTGTTTGCTTTCTAGAAACTGGCAGTGCTTGGGGGACGTTTCCAGCATAAGGCAGGCCGGTAAAAAGGCAACTCAAGGGCCCGAGATCAGAGCTCAGGGCCCCACGGGGCCGAGAAGGGGGCAGCTCGGTGGAAAGGATCAGATAGAGCTGACACGAGTTACTCATCAACCGGGCTCCACGTGAGCGGACTTTCTCTCCCCCCCCCGCCCCCACAGAGCAGGCCCCGCTACGAAAGGCGGGGCCGGGGGAGAGCACAGCTGCCCCGGACTCCTGGGTCCTGCAGCCCAAGCCCCCTCCCCCAACCCCGGACAGCAGAACCCTCTGAGGACGTCTATGTAGTGAACAGAAACTGGCAACAAATTAACGACTCCCAAAATATCAGTTCAGGAGAGAACTTAGCCAGCAACGCCCCTCACAAGGTCACCTGGCCTCCAAGGCCTGGCGGTCCCGTGACCAGAGCCTCTCATGATGTGACACAACATGTCCCCCGGCCCAGCCTCGGGCCCGGCGCCTGCAGGATCCCCCTCGGGCTCTCAGGGAGGGGGCTCCCACCACAGCCTCGGCTCGGGCCCTGCCCCATCCTCACCCACCGCCTCTGCGGCGGAACCTCCACCTCTCCCCCTCAAAAACCTCACGGGCCAGCGACAACGACTTTTAAAATTTTTAATGAGTCAAGAAAAAACTTCCCAGAAAAACAAATAATGAAAAGTACGCAGTTTCCCAACTGCTAACCCAGGCCTCCTGGCGGCTTCCTACTCCCAGAGAGGGCTTCGGGCACAGGAAATGTTTTACGTAAAACAGCCTTCCTGGGAAAGATTTTCCGACCTTCCAAAAAGATGGCAAGCCAGTGCTCGCTTCGGCAGCACATATGCAAAAAGACGGCAGGCCAAAAAGGAGCTGCACCCGGAGACCAGGCTCGGCTGCCTAGGTAACAACACCACCGACAAGAGACTGCAGATACGCCCCCAAACCAGATTACGGGGGGCGATGGAAGAGACAAAACTCGAGAATTTGACCAGACGGCCAAGAAAACCGAGCACACGGCCCGCTGGCTCGGGAAAGGGTTCTCTGGGCAAGTCCACCCCAGCCAAAGCGGAAGGCAGACCACGAGGAGATCAAGTTCCTCTTGCTGCAGCAATTTTTCTAAAAAGGTTGGCCTCAATTCAAGTTGAAACCTATCATTTCAAGCCCGAGACACCGAAGGCACGTGACCCTCCGGGCACTTTTAACCGCCCGCCCCGCCCGGTCAGGCCAAGAGAGAAAAGAGAGCTGGTTCGAAGCACCCCACCACAAAATACCCGCAACTGCCCCTGAACGCTTCCCACGGGGTGCCAAACGGGAGAGCGCAGTTCCACCGGGTTCCACCCCTTCCCGAGAACAGAGCCCCGGCCGCCGCGCGGCCCGGTCCACCCCGCCCCGACACCTCGGCACGCGGGAAGCGGGCTTGGCTCCCGAGCCGCCCCGCCCCCACCGCGCCCGGGGCGCCACCCCGAGACGCCGGGCTGGAACAAAGGGGGCGGCGAAGGGCCCGCGCCCTTCCGGGCGGGAGGGCGGCGTCTCCGGCCGCGCCCGGGCCCGCGGCGGGCGGGGCAGGCC